CTTCTGAACCACAAGTAACTGATAAACTGATAATTCTGGCAAGTGGACTATTACATAAGACAAGAATAGAGAAACTTTTAGTATATTAGATTAATATTCTTGAATGTGTGATCTAAAGCACATTAACAAAATACAGACAGTGAAAACATTGGAAGTGATTCTCTTTTTACTACTTTACAAATTTTCTTAAAAGCCTATGTGTGCAGAACAGCAGGTAGTGTGGTGATTAAGGCACTGGACTCCCACATGGCCGACCAAGGTTCAAGTCCTGGACCTGGCACTTTGAAAATTATGCTGTGTGTGTGTGCATGCCAAAAATCCCAGGGGGAGAATGGAGAAGAAATTGCAGTATGGCCATCCCTCCTTGGGGGTGATTTCTCACTTTTCCTCTCATTGTCTCTGTCTTTCTGAGCCTTATGCAAAACAAAATAAAATAAAACAGACAAACGATTTCCAAAAACAACACACACACACACACACACACACACACCAAACTATGTGTGTCTGATGATTTTCTAAGAATAGGAAAGGGAGCTAATGAAACTTTTTTTCAATAATTTAAACAATAGTTTGTAAAGTCAGGTAAGTGTTCAACAAATAGTTACTTAACTCAATCAACCCACCAATCTGCTGATTATACTAGGAAGTAGATACAATGCCAAAATAAACGACTTGATGTTTTTGAGATCATTTTTAGAGTGAGATCATTTTTAGAGTGTTTGCGTAGAAGCAACAGAATACAGTTGAAATATAATCAAATTCACTTCCTTCCGCTTGTGTTGAAATCTAAGCTTTTAATCTGTAAGAATTTTTATCTAAAACTTTGCTGTTTAGAGCATGGTTTGGGACCAGCAGCATCAGTATTACCTATGAATACAGAATATCCAGCCCTCCCCCAGATCTACTGAATGAGAATCCTCAGCTTAGCAAGACCCTCAGAGGATTCACAGATCCGTTAGAGTGATGGAAAAGCACTGGTTCTGATCTATGCATCTACTTCACTCTGTGCACAGAAATTCCTTTCTCTGAACAATCATTGTTAGGATTTACTTGCAAAACTAAGTCACTTAACATTACACGATCGATCCAAAGAACAGGTTTTTGGTTTAAAATGTGGTTACCTGGGACCAGTAGATGGTGCAACGGTTATGTCTCTGACCTCCCACATAGTCAGCTGTGTTTTGAGTCCTGGACCCTGTGGCTTAAAACTCATACCAGGCATGTGTGTGTGCGTGCCCAAAATCCTGAAAGGAGAATGGAGGAGAAGGGATTGCTGCGTGGCCACATCCCCCAGGGGGTGATTTCTCGCTTTCTGTCTCTCTGTCTCTCCAGTGAGTGCACATGCCCTATAGCAAAAAAATCTCTCCAAAAAGAAAAAAAAAATGTGTGGTTACCTAAACCGGTTCTTTCTCTCATGTTTTTTTAGGCCACACCTCCTTACTACAATCTGACAGCCATGCATGTGCCAATCGCAGTGTGGAACGGGGGCAATGACTGGTTGGCTGACCCTGAAGACGTTGACCTCATGCTTCCAAAACTCCCTAATCTTGTTTACCACAAGAAGATTCTGCCTTACAATCACTTGGATTTTATCTGGGCAATGGATGCCCCTCAAGAAATTTACCATGAAATTGTTTCTATGATGGAAAAAGAAAAAAATTAGTTTGGGATTTTAAAAATTATCCATTTACTTTTCTAAAATTCTTTTTTTCTCTCATACATTGTTTTCTGTAATGTCTGAATAGCAGTGCTTCTCTCTGTAGTTTTGACTTTAGAAATATATTGGCATCACAAACTTCTCATTTGTCATTTTGAATTTTTTAAATCTAAAAAACAGAGGAGGCAGGAAAGGGCCCTCTGAGAAATGACAGCTGAACAAAGAAGTGACTAAAGTGAGATTTATTTCAGCTGAGTGCTCCAGTTCAATGGCTCTCAACTATGAATGACTGAAGTCTTGAAATCTATCAAAGTAGCTTGCCACAGTTTGTACACTAACAGAAGACAGGAAACTCCTGGGTTCAAGACGAAGGACTTTATTACTCATAACACAGCAGACTTCATGACCTTCACATTATCCTTGCTCCCCTGGTGCCATATAGGCAATGCGGAAGTGGACTCATGGGGTCATTGCACACACAGTGGGTCTAAGTCACAAGGAGAAACCCAACTTTAAAAAAAGCCCAACCTTACAAAGGCACTACCAGCAAACCTGTCTGATCTGTATGCCAGACTGAGACATTTTCTCTATTGTACTGATCAGGAACAAACCTGCCCCTGCCCTGGAATAAAACACTATCTCTATATTTTAAATTGGTTTGATATGCAAACACACTTCAGAAGCTAGTCTGGAACAAATACTGACCTGAGACATGAATAAATCTCCCAACTGAATAGTCTCCCAACATCACTCTTTAAAGGCTGAGCATCAAACTTAAGAATACAACCACTCTTCACTTGACAACCACCTGTTTAAGGACCACTTGGACTTAACGGCAATTCTCCCCTTTGTCAGTCTGAGTCTCCAGAATCTGCTTTCTTAATCTTTGTCTCATTCCCATAGTCAGTTGATATATGCTACATGAAGCTTCAGACACATGAGACGACATATTTCGTGTATAAATTTGTACTTTAGTGCTAGTATTCAGAATAAATGAAAATATTTACACTGGCTTTATATAGTGTTACAACATCTTGTCACTGGTGCTTATTTAACGTGTGCTTTTTGTATGGATAGAATTACATTATTCTAGTATGTTGTCACATGATATATATTGAAAAATACCTACCGTAAGACACCACAACACACCCACAAGATATCTACCGTTAAGCTCTTTGCTTATAGACCAATTTGTTTAACAACCTAGTCATAGGAACACAACTTCATCATTAAGTAAGGAGTGTCTGTCCATTAGAATCGCTTGGAAGGCATGTTCCAACAAAATTTCCTGGAACCTGTGCTCCTATTTCAGTAGGTCTGAAGTGAGGTACTAATACGTTGCCAGGTGATACTGAAGCTGCTGGTCAGGAAGCCCTACTTTGAGAGTTACTGTTCTGCGTCTATTAAACACAGCAGGTGTTTATCCACTGTTGTTGATTTCCTTCATTGGTCTGTGGTTTATAACAACAGCTCATCATTCTAGATTGCTTATGTCTACTGTTCTCTTTCATATCATTAATTGTACTAAATAATGTATCTCTTAGCAGAGACAATTATCTTACCACGTGTTGAATTTGCTGACTTTTGTACTTCCAATCTAGATGAACCTCACTTATTATCAGCTTGAGTTTATCTAGTCATGAAACAAAGGAGGAGATGGTTAAACCAGAGAGAAAAAAAGAAACTCTGCTTTGGAGAGTATTTGGAGAGTATCGTTTTTTTTTTTCTTCTTGAGAGAGTTTTGCTATAGGGTGCATGCATTCACCAGAGAGATAGGGAGAGACAGACTAAAAGTGAGAAATCACCCCTCCAGCGGCAGGGATGGCCATGCCACAATCCCTTCTCCTCCATTCTCCTCTTGGGGTTTTGGTCACGCATGCACATGCGCCTGGCGTGAGTTTTAAGCCACCAGATCCAAGACTTGAACCACTGTTGGCTACAGGGGAGTCTAGCAATGTAACCATTATGCCATCTGCTGGTCCCTCGAGGAGTATCTTAATACCCATAATGGTAACCGTGTGCCTACTGTTGAATAAATGACATTCTAATTTATAGCTACAATAAGGACTGATTGAAACATAGATTTTGGGCATTACAAAGAGTGTTGGTAATTTTCCTTTTTCTCTTTTTATTTTTTCATTTAGCTTCCCCTCCCAACTTTTATTATATACTCTCAGTTTCTTCAGCTGCAAAAAGCTTTTGAAGTCAAAATTAAATTTTAAATGAGCAAATAGTATTTAGATCTTTTGGATTATATTATACACAGATTCGTAAATCTATGCAATTAATAAGAAAAGATGGTGCTGTCCCCATGACTAATGGCTAAGGGGGCAGGATCCCACATGGCTGACTTCATGGTTAGAATCTCAGCCCCAGTGACTTACAAACTATGATGGGCACAAGGGCATGCATGCCCAAATCCTGACAAGATAGAGAAATGGAGACGGGATTGCAGCATGACCACACTTCAATAGGAGGTGGAAGTGCTTTCTCCCTCACTCTGCCCCTCTCCCTGGCAAAACATATGCCTTCTGGAAATTTTTCTAAAAAAATTAAGGAAATGTATTATGACTATATCAGAATGAATACAAATCCAGTGGTATTCTATTTTATAGCTCTAAAATTTAACTGGTTTGGAACCAGCAGATGGTGTGGTGGTTAAGGACAGTGGACTGCCAATGGCCAACCACAGTTGGAGTCTGGGAACTGGTGGCTTGCTTTCTCACTTTCCCTCTCTCTCTCCCTCTCTCTCTCTCTCTCTCTCTCTCTCACACACTCTGTCCCTCTCTAGTCAAATTAAAATAAATAAAGTTAAATAAAATAATTCTTTAAAAAAAGGAACTGTTTCACAAAATTAATTCATATGCGACCAGTTGGAAACAAGCAGTTAATAATCCTATGGGAAAAATACTTATTATCATTTTAAATATATTCGTATTCATAATTTATATTAATGAAGAGTTTTCATAAGAACTATGTAGTTATGCAGATTTGCCACTAGAGGGTATGCTAGTTTCGGGGACTGCTAATGTTTTTCCTCTTAGTCTATTTAATCAATAGGTAGTGTTTGTGCTCATGTATTTTAAGACGTTAGCTCCTGTGCTAAAAATTGTGAGAAAAAATTGTCATAGGAAAAGAAAAAAAAAAGCAAGAATTGAAACAGACAAATTCACAGACAGAAGACAGGAAAAAGTAGCACTTTGTTAAGTACCTTATATATGGTATTACACCCGCAAATATATTATGAAATTGATAATATTGTACTAATTGTACAAAGTAAGAATGCTGAAGAAAAAGTATCTGTGCAAAGTCTTGTGGAAAGGAACAGAACCAGGATTTTTATTCAGGTCTGCCTGACTTCACAATTCAACTTCCCAAGATTCTAAAGCCACAGATCAAATCAAGCCTTACTCTAAGTCTTCAAGATAATCCCTCACACGCTCTTGTGCTCCAGAGCATCTTTGTACCTTTATTACCTCGCCTGTTTCTTCAGTTTGTACAGTAGTTATGAGCCCTGTGTTTTTATTGCTGCCTCTAGATTCCTAAACTCTGGAAGCTCGAGAACCCATACTTCCACCTCTCCTTAGACCTCCTCTTCTGCACGGCGCAGGCACACGGGAGCTCGGTTTCTCAGTGCTGTTTATCGTTATGTGTCACACACTAACTGCCTGATTAAAAGCAGGTTTACAGCCAACCGTCTATCACCCTGTGGGTAATCTATTCTTTCAATGTGGCAGATTCATTTAAACACAAACACCACATTTAAATAGCAAATATACTTCAGACTCACTTTATTATTTCACAATGTATTCCCAAGCTTAATACAATACTTTTAATTTCTTGGATTTGATTTACTTCCACATCTTCATAGTTAGTTACTCCATGTGTAAACTTAAATTCTGGAGATTTTCAAACACCAAAAATTGAGAAAATAGTATATTCCAAAATAGCCTCCTTTCAGCCCACGTAATTATTACTACATGACCAATTTATTTTCATCTATACGCTACTGTAACCAGCAAAAAGTTATTATAATTTATTTCCAGAGGGCACATGTGCTCACTGGAGGGAAAAGAGAGAAAGAAAGCATTCTCCAAAGGTTCATGTCCACACATGAACCTATCCTTTCCACTTCATGTTTCCATCCTGTCAGGATCTGGGGCATGCTTCCACACACGCCTGTGTGTTTCCCAAGCCCCTCAGGGCCAGAATTCAAACCACGGTTGCTCACGTACAATCAGTTCTCTGTGCATAGAACTTAACCACTGCACTGCAGGTCCAGCCCAATAAATTAAGTGAAAGCAAACTTCCAGGCACATATCATTGTATCTAGAAAATACTTTATGCTATAGATTTAAACCATAAACGATTTTAAAAAGTAATCACAATACAAATATTATATCTAAGAACCAAGCATATAAAAATTTCATAAATATCATCAAATATCCAGGCACACGGGAAATTTCCATGATTATCTCACACATGTGCTTTTTACACTTTGTCCAAACAGCACATAAACGCTGTCATGCTTTGTATCTGGGTTGTAAGTATCTAGAAATGCCATCTATGCTCTGTTCTCTATTAGTTTCCTTTTTTCCCTTGACATTTATTGATGGATGCATCCTTGAGAATACTTTATACTGGTTTTGTGTGTGTACATGTGACAAGTGCAATTATTTTGCTCTAAGGCCATCCAGTCTATTTCATGTATATCTCCATCTTAGTTTTTAACATTTATCTTTTTTTTCTCCAAAGGGCCACATTAAGTTCAATCTATGCTAGTACTAGAACCCCAATCCAATTCTATCCCCAACTCCCTGCCTCCCTCCCTCATCTCTTCCCGTATAAAATTAAAACTATACAGCTCTCATCCTCGACTCAAATCTGAGAGCTGGAATGGCTAAGCCTGGGTTTTGCCACTCTGTCTCTCCTACTGACTCCAACACAAGGTGCCTCACATACTTCTGGCCTTTGATTTAACCAACAGAAGGATTAAGTTTTAAATT